AGGAAAAGTAGGATGTGCATTCTCAGGGAGAAATGAGCTCTCCCTTATAATGAAGGTGTCCAACCGAGATGCTTAAAAAGGGGATCCCAGGGGCGCCTGGGTGGCGCAGTCGGTTGAGCGTCCGACTTCAGCCGGGTCACGATCTCGCGGTCCGTGAGTTCGAGCCCCGCGTCAGGCTCTGGGCTGATGGCTCAGAGCCTGGAGCCTGTTTCCGATTCTGTGTCTCCCTCTCTCTCTGCCCCTCGCCCGTTCATGCTCTGTCTCTCTCTGTCCCAAAAATAAATAAACGTTGAAAAAAAAAAAATTTAAAAAGGGGATCCTGTGCTGGGAGGGGCCACACGGGACATCCCCCGGGTCTGAGGGTGTATGGGTGGTGAGTGCTAACAAGAGACGAGGTACCGGGAGAAGTCGATCGGTAATTCAGAAACACACGCTTGGTGTTTTCAAGGCTGGCTGCTGGGCAGAAGGAGGCCCTAGCCATCCAGGCCCCGAGTACAAGTCCACATCCTAGAGTCCTACCCCTACTCCCATTTCCTTGACTGCCCCCCCAATGGGGGAGAAGGCCTCGGCACCTGGCCTGGGCAGAGGGTCATGTGGACACCCCAGGGGCCTCCCATTCACCCAGGCCTTTCCCTTTTTTGAGAACTGGGAGTTTGCTGGCTGGGTCTGTTCCCACCAACAGTGTTCCCGTCCAGGGAGCTTAAAATAGTGCCTCTTGGCTGGGGCTCTCGAGTGAGCAGTGAGGCAGGCATTTGTGCAAATATGGGCCTGGGAGAAAGAGTCCTACCCAGGAGGGTGGCGGGCGGGGTGGGCAGCATGTCAGGAGAGCCAAGACCTCCTGTGGAGGATGCGCCCTCCTGGCCACAGCCCCCCTCCATCTTGCAAGAGAGGCGCCTGTTAGTCTCCTGCCCCCCCCCCCCCCCCCCAGACCGTACTGGGCTCACTTGGGCACGTCTTTAGACTGGATCCCACAGGCCCTCCTTGCTCCAGGGTGAGCCTCCTGGAAATGGGGCCTGTGCATTCTTCTGCACGTTCTATCCTTGTTCCCACCTCACAATGCCCTTCCCACTCAAGCACACTCCAGAAGCATCCTTGAAGGCCCAAATCAGAACTTGTTTTAATAATAGCAGTGACAATTGCATCCACCTTTAATTGAGCATTTACTTTTGTCAGGCGCTCGGCTAAGTCTTTCAACATGCATTATCTCATTTGATCCTCACGACATTCTATCCAAGCCAGGTTATTATTATCTCCACTGTGCAGAAGAAACCAAGGCTCAGAGAAGTCAAGGGACTGTCCCGAGGACACATAGCTGTGAACTGATAGAGGCAGGAGTAAAACTCAGGTCTGTCCATCTCTAGAATCTGAACCCTTACCCCTGGGCTATACCTCTTCCTACAGGTCCCTGATGCTCTGGCCTCCTGTTCTCCATTCCAGCATTAACACTCCATATTGCATATAGCTGCTTTGAGTCAACGCATCAAAGATTTCGCGAATGCCTACTACGTGCCGGGAACACTGCTGGGCGTCTCGCTCACCCCCTGGGAGCTCTCAGGTCCCCTTGAGGACTCTGGTTTGGGCTTGGGTTCAGTGACCTCCCCAGCATTCACGGACCTGTTTGTTGAGGATGTCCAGGTAAGGCTGAGGCAAGCATAGCCCCTCCTCAATGACCAGCTGGCCATCCCCTCTCCTCTCCTGGCTGCAACTCTCCTTTCTTTCCCCCACTGCAGGGAACAGCATGTACAGGAATCAGACAATCTTGCTTTGAACCCTGTGACTTTGGGCTCCCTGAGCCTCAGTTTCCCCCTCTGTAGATAAGGGATAAAATTAGGACCTCGCCACAGGGTGGCTGGGAAGATGTAATGAAACAATTGCACACGAAGGACTTAGCACAGGGCCTGGCAGTCAGTCAGTAGATATTACACAGTAGCTATTACTATTACTAGTTGTTATTTTCTGAAAATTATGATGTCCTGGTGACAAATGCCCAAGGCCTAGAACATACTAGATGCTCCAAGTGAAGGGAATCACTCACAAGGCAGACGGAGGCCTCTACCCCATCCCTGCCCCTTCACTCTCGGTGGCTGTGCCCTTCCTGCAGTGACTGGGAGGTGTCTCAGCGCTTGACCCTAACAGCGGGTCACTTGGGCTGCCAGGGGCAGGCCCGGGACCCATACCCCATCACTTGGTCCCCTCATTTGCAACGCCAGGGCCCATTCAGACTTGGTTGGTGTGAGGTTCCCTCAGGGCTTGCGGCCCCTCTTCAGGGTCGTCTGGCTTTCTGGTGGCGCCACCTGGTGGTGAGCACAGCACAGTTCATGGCAGGCTCTGCAGCCAGAGGGCTGTCTGGAGACTGAGCAAGACCACCCCCTGCCCCTTCCTCTCCAGCACATCCGCCCCTTCCCTCATTTACGAGTGCCAACCACCTTCCGTGAAAAAATCCTAACGACTCCAACTTTGCCGTGAACCCAAGAACCCCAAGTTCTTAGGCCTTCCTCTCAGGCCTGGGTTGGGTCCCATGGTGGTCTGCCAGGAGGGTTCACACTTAGGACATCTCTGAGGGCAGATGACCCTTCAGTGGTTTCTAGAAACCTCGGCTGGAGGAAGGGACCTCCTTCCAGGCCCGAGCTGGCCCAGGCATGGGAAACCCAGTAATGGTCACTGGGCCCATCCTTGACTCCCTGAAGCACCTTCCCTGGGGACCTCACAGATTCCCCGTCCCGACTGGGAGGAGTGTGGAGCCCCAGCCGGGCCCAGGGCTGTAGGTGTAAACTTTGGGGGAAGAGCAGTAAGAATTAGGAGACTGAGGCATGCTCTAACCAGCCTCATGGGGCTCTGACACGAACACACCATGTCAGCTAGGGTGAGGCCCACCCCTCCCTGGCCTCCGTCTCCCGTGCTCAAGTGGAGGTTGGGTGGGGGAAGGAGAAGATGACGGGTAAGGATTCCTGTAGCTCCCAGACTGGCTCCTTGTCAGGTGCAGATTCCTGGGCCTGCTTTGTCAGAGCTCTGAGGCCAGGACCCTGGAATCCATATTGACGCGCACTGAAGCTGGAAGCGAAGGAAGCTAAGTCGTGTCTTTGAGACTTCCCTCTCTGTGGATGCCGGGCTGCGGGTGGGGCCACCCCAGCTGCATGCTGGTCGGTCCCCCTGCCGGCTGCAGCAGAGGGGTAGCGAGGAGACTGCCCCCCAGCCCTCACCCCCTCACGCTTGCCCCGAGGACAGTGGCGGTGGGGCTGAGGCAGCCGGAGTGGGGGCCCTCGCTGCCTGAGGAGGTATTTTCGGAGTCCCCCCTCCCTCTGGAGTTTCCAGTGATAGAATAGAGTCCTGTCTAGTATTTGACCAAATATGGTGGTATCTCTCCACGAGCTCCCGCCTCAGCCAGTTTCTCAGTTATGCTGTGGAAACCTGCCCCGGACAGATTAATCTTGTGACATTCAGGAGCGCGTCGCACTCGGCGTTCTCTCCCTCAGCCGATTCCTGTAAATGGCCAGGAGTGGCCCTCCGCAAGACGCTGCAGTCCCCAGTGTTTGCTCACAGACACTCCCTATCCTCTGCACGCTCCCTCCCAGCCCTCCTCCGCCTCCCTGGGGGGACTGGCTCCCTCACATCGGGGCCTGGCCGGGCTGTTCACCTGAGGTGAGAGACCTAGGCCCCCGCGGGGCTGCTCAGTTCAGTGTGGGATCCTAGGGTCACCCGAGCTCACCACATTGCAGCCGGAGCCTGTGAAGCCCAGAGCTCTCTCAGGGCCCTGGGGGGTAGGAAGGAGAGTTGGCTGAGCGATGAGAACCACGCGGGCTCTAATGCTAATGAGAACGGCTAATGTTTATAATAACAACTATATGATTATTTCATAATGATCATTTTCGTCATAAACAGCTAAGTGTTTATTGAGCACTTACTACATGTCAGGTACTGTGCCAGCTGTTAAACACGGTTTATTTCCTTTACTCCTTTTAACAGCCCCAAGTAGTGGCCGCCGTGATTCCCCCCATCCTAGAGAGGTGGGAAGTGAGGCTCAGAACGATTTCAGGAAGAAAGGGGCCAGGCGACTGTCAATTCCTGGGCATGACTCCCATTTTACAGAGAAGGAGACTGAGGCTGAGAGAGAGTCAAAGTCACAGACAGCTACACAGGGGCAGGCCCCTGGACGGAAGACCCTCTACATGGAATGGGGGGGGGTGCTGCATCGGGAACGGCAGAACAGCCAGCCACGAAGTCCTCCTGAACTGCGACTTGGCCGGCGCAGGAGCACAGATTCAGAAACATGCTCACAGCAGGCCAGAATTGTGCAGAAAATATCCCAAGACAAACAGCATGGGGTGGGGGATAGAGGCCTGCACAGGGACCAGGTATGAATCCCGGCTCTGTCGTCTCTTACCCACTGTGTAATCCTCGACAAGTCCCTTCCTTGCTCTGGCCTCAGTTTCCCTTCCTGTGAACTGACTAGGTGGGTGGGGCTCCCCCACCCAGGGCCGTTGAACTCACCTGAGGCTGGCTGAGGCCGGAGGGCCTGAGGCTGTTTCCCCGGGAGACGGGGCCCGCGTCCCACTCCTGGCTGGCACACTCGAGAACATTTGCTCTCCTGACCAACGGACAGCCCGTCCCGCCTCCGCCCTCACCCCCTTGCCATCCCCAAAGCAAACGAAGCTGATTGTCTTAGCCGGCCCTGTGGGTGCCGGCCGGGTGGCTAGCCGCAGGCCACAGGCGGAGGTCCCACCCGCCAGGGCCCCGCCGGACACACAGGGCATTGTCCCTCAGTCAACAGCCCCCGGGCACCTCGGCCCGGCTCCTGGCCTGCCCCCACGCCCCTCGCCGCCAGGCCCAGCCAGCTGGGGGCCCGAGGCTCCCAGCTGATGACGAGCCCACCCAGCCACCCCCCAGCAGCCCCCTGACGAGCTATAATTGCTTCGCTCCTTCCTGTTGCTGCCATTCTCTTGGAGGAGGCATCTGGGGTTCCAGGCGGGCGGCAGCTGCTGGCCAACCGCCTGGCTCGCGGGATGGACTGGCCGCACAACCTGGTACGTGGCTCTTCCCCACCCCCACCCCATTTTAGGGCCTGAGTGTTTCGTTACTTCTCTCCTATTGATTCATGGCTGCCTCTGTTTGGCTTGGAATCTGCAGAGGTGAGTTCTCCCTCTGCCGTCTCTCCCCCAGGGCGAGGAAGAAACAGAGACCGGTCTCAGAGCCTGCGGCCATGGCCGACAGCTCGGGCTCCTGAACTGGGCTCAGCCCGTCCACAGCGAAGCCCTTTCAGGCCCAAGCCGTCTGGGGCGGGGGAGCCTGGCAAACTCCGTTATCGGGGTTCTTCCAGAGAAGTCCCTGGGTCCTGAGAGCCAGGCCGTGTGACCTTGGGCAAGTCCTTGTGTTTCTGTTTCCCAGGGGAGGTGGGGGGACTTGGATCCTGTTCTGGGTTTCTCTGAGTGGAGGGCCCGAGTTCAAGGGCGCCAGGGTGAGCAGCCCAGAGGAGAAAGCCAATTGTGAAGGAGGCCTTTTTTCCTGCACCGGAATCCGGGACCAAAAGGGAAGAATTTAGCGACTTGAATCTCTTTGGTGGATTTTGTGCCAGGCAGTGGTGTTGCCAGGAGGGGCTGTGCTGGAACTTGTGTTCAAGGGTCAATGTTTGTTGGGTAGCCTGGATCGGTCAGGCCTGGGCTGTGCAGGTGCTGAGGTGAGTGGTTCAGGGCAGGTGGGAGCCTGGTTAGATGCAGGGACAAGATAAACCCCCCCCTCCCTGCCCCCCGCCCCAACCAAGATTCTTCCCTTCTGGCAAGCCCTGGGCCCCACCCCAGTCCTGGCCCTTCTCTCCCTGCCTTGCGGGAGAGTCGGGTCCTGCCAGACTCCTGGGGCTTCTCCTGAGCGAGCCAGAGACTTTCCTGACGCTCTGGGTTCTATGGGAAGAAGTGGACGGAGGTTGGCGAGGTTGGATACGGGTGAGGCGTGGATGGGGTGGGGGGCAGGGAGAGGGCCGGGCATAGACGAGGGGGGCACAGGTGTCATGGAGTCCAACAGGGATCCTTAGCCGCGACCTGCCCATCTCCCCAACTTCATCTCACGCCCCCTCCTCTGCACACTCTATTTCAGCCTCGCGGTTTCCCCGGCAAAGCTCTTCACCGACGCAAACCTTTTCTCACGCTGCCACCCCTCCCTGACCCCCACCCCCGTGAGATATTTAGACTCCCTCTGCCCACATCTGTCTCCCTCTTATCCTTCAAATTTCACCTACATGCCGGCTCCCCAGAAAGGCCTTGCGGGACCACTCGGCTGCTGCTAAGCGGTTGGCCCTGATCTCTAGCCACAGGCAGCCCGCGTCATCATCACATTCGTCGCTAGAGATTTAGGTGCTTGTTACTTGTTCACTGTCTGTTCCCCCACCCAGACTGTAAGCTACAGAAGGGGCAGGGATGGTGACAGCCGTTGACTGACTCGGTCACAGGGGAGGAGACAGTATATGGAAGCTGCTGCAATGCCTGCCTGCGTGGAGTCCGTGCTTAGTAGGGGAGGGATGCATAACAAAACCACACATGTGAACTCTAAGTCTGCAGGCATGTGAGGGGCGTGTGGTGTTGAGAGCCCCAAAAGGTCCACTGAGGCATCCCGAAGGACGTGACACTGGGCTGAGACATGAGGGGTTGAGGGGTAAGAGGCATTTAGATGAATGAGGGAGGCAGGACTCTGCGGGTGGCAGCCTGTGCAAAGTCCCTGTGGCAGGAAGGAGCATTTTGGGAGGAAGGGCTGGAGAGAAGGTCAGAGGCTGGAGCGCAGGTGTGAGAGGAAGTCAGGGGTAAGATTGGAGGAGGCAGGGCTCAGCAGAGGTCAGACCATGTGGCAGAGTAGGGGTGTCTTTACCCTAAGGGTGAACGGTCAAGCTGGAGGTTAACATCAGATCGGCATTTCAAGCAGCTGTCCTTGGCCATGGCACGGAGAACGGATTGAAGGAGACCGGGGGGATGTGAGGGGACCAGGTGGGAGGCTGTTGAGGGAGGGTGGTGCAGATGGATAAATGGAAAGGTGGGGAGATTTTGAAGAGGTGATACAGGCGGGACTTAGTCCTGTCCACATGTCTATACCTGTGGTGGCCTGGCAGGTGGGGCGGTCCCCGTAAAGGCCCTCTTCCCTCTCTCTTCCCTGAGCCTGGAGTCTTGGCCCAGAGGGACACCCGTCTCTCCTATCTTTGACGTGTGGCCTTCTTTCCCAGCTGTTCCTTCTGACCGTCTCCATCTTCCTGGGGCTGGGCCAGCCCAGGAACCCCAAAGGCAAGAGGAAGGGGCCAGGGCGGCCTGGAACGCTGGCTTCTGGGCCTCACCAGGTGCCGCTGGACCTGGTGTCACAGGCGAAGCCGTACGCCCGCATGGAGGAATACGAGAGGAACGTCGGGGAGATGGTAGCCCAGCTGAGGAACAGCTCTGAGCCGGCCAGGAGGAAGTGTGAAGTCAACCTGCAGCTGTGGCTGTCCAACAAGAGGAGTCTGTCGCCCTGGGGCTACAGGTAGGCTGTGCTGGGCAGCCACGGGCAAGCTGCGTGTAGGGGGCGGGGGGGGGGCACCGTGCCCACTGTCCCCACCATTGTAATAGTTACACCTTGGATCGGGAGGCCCGAGTGCCTGGGTTTGAATCTCGGCTCTGTCCCCTACTCGCTGCGTGGCTTTGGGCAGCCTCAGCGTCTCCGAGCCTCAGTTTCTTGCGTGTCAGTGGGGATGACGGTAGTTCAAACTTCGTCGGTTTTATAGGCTTGTGATTAAATGAGCTGTCTGTGCAGAGCCCTGGCATTCGTGTTCCCCACGTCCCCGCTGGAGTGCCTGCAAGGCTCTCACTTCCTCTGCCTCGGCGTGCCTTGTACACCCTCCCAGTCACAGCGCCTGCAGGGCGGTATTGAGTTCTGTGTCTACATCTGCCTCTCACGACTGGCACCTCCCCAGTGCCCGCATCAGAGTCATCTAAGGACTCTCGTGCCCCACTCCGTCAAAATCTGCAGGAAGAGGCCCAGAGAGTGATACGTCACACACCTCCACATGATCGGGAACCAAAACCCGCTGTTCTCAGACTACAGGGTCGGTGCCTTACCTCGGTCAAAGCTCTACTTCTAAGCACAGAGCCTGGCATGCACAAGGGGCCAAATGCCTGCGTGCTGGAAGAAACCGAGTAACCTTGAAGGGTCGTCACTCACAAGTCAGGCCAAAGATTTTTTAGGGGCGCAACTTAGGTCCTGAGATCCTAGAAGTGCGTAGCTTTCTGGGATGATGGAAAGTCTAACACGGTAGGCACTGAGCTGTTGAGCGCTTGAAAAGTAACTAGTGTAGCTGAGGAGCTAATTTTGATTATTTTATTTGTCTTAAATTTATTTATCTTAACTGAGGGATAGTTGACTAATTCTGATTAAGTTCAATTTAAATAGCCACATGTGAGGGGCGCCTGGGTGGCGCAGTCGGTTAAGCGTCCGACTTCAACCAGGTCACGATCTCACGGTCCGTGAGTTCGAGCCCCGCGTCGGGCTCTGGGCTGATGGCTCAGAGCCTGGAGCCTGTTTCCGATTCTGTGTCTCCCTCTCTCTCTGCCCCTCCCCCGTTCATGCTCTGTCTCTCTCTGTCCCAAAAATAAATAAACGTTGAAAAAAAATTA